CCCCCCCCCGACCCCCGCCTCTGCCACTCCCCTGCTTGTACTCTGTCTCTTAAAAGTAAACATTAAAAAATAAATAAACCTTTAAGAAAAAATAAAATAAAATTCTGGAGCTGAAATCTACAAGAACTGAGTTGAAAGAATTCACCAGAGCGGTCAAAAGCAAACTTGAACAAGCAGCAGAAACAATCTGCAGAGTTGAAAACAGGTCGTTTGAAATTTGAGTCTGGGGAGCAAAGAAAAAAAGAATAAAGGAAACTAAACTAAGCCAAGGAACTTAAGGGATACCATTAAACCAACCAATATGCACGATATGGGAGTCCCAGAAAAGAGTGAAAGAAGAGAAAGGGTCAGAGAATTTGTTTGCAGCAATAATAGTGGAATATCCTCCTTTCTCTGTCTGGTGGTCCCATTATGCATATTTGTGCACTCAGTATTCCACATTTTCCAGCGGCTCTATTCAGTTTTCTTCATTCTCCTCTGCTCTTCAGATTGCATAATCTTTATTCATCTGTAACTTCTCACTGTTGACATTCTTTAATGTGATGTCATCATCATACCCTCCCTTACTCCTTTAAATATGGTTTCCCTTAGATCTTTGAGCATATTTATAATGGGTGCCCCGAAGTCTTTGTTAAATATATCATCTGTCTAGACCCTCTCACAGGCAGTTTCTGCTGTCTGCCTTTTTTTCTGTCTGTAAGTCCATCCTTTCTGGTTTTTTGCACGTATTCTACGTTTTCAGTTGAAAATTGGACATTCTAGATTATAGACTTTTCGGGGCTGCTTGTGGTTTGCTTGTTTATGTGGTCAGTGATTAGCTGGCATTTTGGTGACATCTGGTTTTTTTCCACATATGAGCCTCTGACGTTCCTCTTGTCACAAGAGCTTGCTTCCAGTCACAATGGGATGGCTGGTTTGGGCAGGGATCTCACTGAGTCTTTCCCTGATCACACGTTACAGCAGGCCGGTTGCTTTGTTGTTTTTGACACTGAGACATGAATTGCTCCAGAGTCTGATCCAATTTCACTCCTGCCCCCTTGTAGAGGTAGTTTTCGAGGCCAGGGTTTGAGGTTTGCTCTAATCCTAAGAGGGCTTTCCTATCTCGCTCTTCCCCTGGTTCTCTGGTAAACGAGCTGGCCTACTTGTTTCATATATATGTATAGATTTTTAACGTTTTTTAAAATTTTTTAATGTTTATTTTAGAGAGAGGGAGACACAGAATCCGAAGCAGGCTCCAGGCTCT